GACTCAGGGCAGCCCAGCTCCAGGTTGAGCTGTTGTTCAGCATCTTAGCTGTGGAGGGTAGTGTCACTGGCCCTCATATGTGGGATCCGAACCCGGGCCTTCTGGCATCCCAAGCCAGTTCTTAACCATCGCACCACTCGGCCAGCCCTGGTTTTTTCTTCTATGTGCTGTGTTTACCTGATTTTAGTATCACATTAATGATGACTTCAAAAAATGAGAAATATTCCCTTCTTTTATATTTTCTGGACAATATTGTATAAAATTGGTATTAATTCTTCCTCAAATATTTGGTAAAATAATCCAGTGAAATCATCTGGGCTCAGAGATTTCTTTTTTGGGGATTTATAATTACAGATTCAATTTCTTTAATAGTTACAGGAATATTCAGGTTATTTCATCTTAGTTTTGGTAGTTTGTGGTTTTGACGAATTGTTCTATTTCTTCTAAGTTGTCAAATTTATAAAAATAAATTTGTTCATAGTATTCCCTTCCTATTCTTTTATCTATTTTCCTGTTTCAATTTCATTGACTGCTGCTTTTGTCTTTATTAATTCTTTCCTTCTACTTGCTTGGTGTTTGTTTTTGTTCTTTTTCTGGTTTCTTAAAGTAAGAACTTGGATTATTGAGTTCTTTTCTGTTTTCTAAAATAAGCATTTGTCATAATAAATATTTCTCTTAGCACACTGCTTTAGTTGCATCCCACAAACTTTGATATGTTTGTGCTTTAATTTTCATTCAAGTCTATGGGAATTCCTCTTTGAGTCAAATTATTTAGAAGCATGTTGTCTAATTTCCAAGTATTGGAGATTTTTTTGTTGTTGTTGCCTTTCTGTAAATGGTTTCTAATTTTGCTTTAGTGTGGTCAGAAAACATACTCTGTATGATCTCAGTTATTTCAAATTTGTTAAGGTTTGTTTTACGACCCAGGATAAATGCTATCTTGGTAAATGTTCCATGGGTGCTGGAGAAGAATGTGTATTCTGCTGCTGTTGGAGTGTCCTATAAATGTCAATTAAATATTTTTTGTTGATAACATTGTTGAATTCTTCTATTTTTCTGCTTTTCTGTTATTTTTATCAATTGAGAGTGGAGATTGAAGTCCTCAGGTATACTTGTTGATTTGCCTGCTTCCCCTTTCAGCTCTTTCAGGTTTTGCCGCTTGTATTTTGAAGTGTTATTATTTGGTACATATATATTTAGGATTGCTGTATCTTCTTGGTGGAGAAATTCTTTCATCATTTATGTAATGTCCCTCTTTGTCTTTAGTAACTTTCTTTGTTCTGAAGTCTACTTTATCTGATATTAATATAGCCACTCTGCTTTTCAAAAAAATATATATATATTTTTTTTAGCTGAGCCATCCCGCCACCTGTTGGTAGCTCACGGCTGCTCAGCTCGGGCTGACTTGAACCACTGTTGCTCAGAGCTCAAATCCTTGAGCGAGCTCTTAACCAACTGAGCCACTCAGCCGGCCCTTCAAAAAAATATTTGCATGCTTTGTCTTTTTTCTTCCTTTCAATATACATATGTCATTATGTTTGAAGTGAAATTTTTATAGGCAACATATGGTTAGATCTGCCAATCTGTCCTTTAATTTGTGTATTCAGACCATATACATTTAAAGTAATTATTGATATATTTGGGCATATTTCTGTCATTTTATTATTTGTTGCCTGTTCCCTCTATTTCTCATTCCTCTCTTTCTTCTAGTTGGGGCAGCTGCATATGGTGCCTGGTGTGCCACCCACCAGAAAGAGTGGGTCCCAGAAAGGGTAGCCAGGTGTACATGCATGTGTGGTAGCTCCCTGTTGTCTGGCTGTCCACAGCCAGAACGGAGTCTGGACGGGACAGCCTGATGTGTACACGCTTCCTTCTGATCTGGGCTGGCACAGCTGCCCCAAGTAGTGAGTCCTGTTGTTTAATTGTCTGTTGGCTGAGCTGGGTCTGGGTGGGGCTGACCTGAGTGTACCTGTCACAGTGCCCTACACTTTCTTTGGATGGGGCAGTCCTGTGTGCGAGCACCACAACACTTTGCTAGTTCTTCACTTTCTCCGGGTGGGGCAGCCCTAGGTGCACACGCAGCAGTGCCCCACTAGCTCTTCACTTTATCTGGACAGGGCAGCCCTGCACGTGGGCACCACAGTGCTTCGCTAGCTCCACACACTCTGCAGGCAAAGGAGCCAGTGTGCATGCACTGCCCAGTGGGTGTGGGCAGCAGTGCCCTGCCGTACCCACTGGATCAATCTTTGGTGAGGGTCCCCTTGTATGTATGCTATCGTGCCCTTCTGTTCCTGCTGGAGCTAGCTCTGGAAGGGGTGGCTGGGGATGCCCTACAGAGGCCCTGCAGGTCTACCAGAGAAACTGGATAGAGCTCCCGCCCAGTACCCAAGTGCACAGAAGACATAAACAATGGTACTCACTGGTTCCCCACCTCAGAGAGTTCCCAAGAGCTCTCAAGGTTCCACAACCTTTCCTATGTGGTCTCTGTCTTTCTCTCTTGTTTGTTGTACAGTAACTGTTCGACTGGCTCTCAGTTATCTCTCAGGAGGAATTGCTCTAAATATAGGTGTATATTCTACATATGTGTTCTTGGGAGGGTGCAAGCTCAGCGTCTTCCTACCTCAGCTGCCATCTTGGACCAGCCTCCCTGTTATTTCTTTTCTGAAGGTCTCAGCCTCCCTATGTTACTGTTTTCTTCCTGTTTGGAGATCTTCCTTTAGGGAGTGTTTAAGGATTGGTCTGCTAGCAATAAATTCTCTTAGTTGTTCTTTGTCTGAGAATATCATTTCCCATTCATTCCCAAAGGATAGTAAGTGGGATTCAGGATGGACAGTTCTTTCCTTTCAGCATTTGAAAATGTGCTGCTTCTTTTTGGCCTCCATAGTGGTTGCCAGCTACTGGATGGCTGCTCACGGCAGCTGCCTGCTGCTCATGGTAGCTCACGGCAGCTCACTGCAGCTCCACTGCAGCCTATGCCGTCGCTGGTGACTCACGGCAGCCCAGCTCCAGGTCAAGCTGTTGTTCACCATCTTAGCTGTAGAGGGCAGTGTCACTGGCCCCCATGTGGGATCCGAACTGGGGCCCTGCTGCTCAGAGCTGGCATCCCAAGCCAACTCTTAACCAATGTGCTACTGGGCCAGCCCTCCCATTAATTTTTTATTGTGATTTAAACATGTGTTTTTAAAATGGGAAAAAACATTAATTATATAATTATACATTACTGGGATCATTTTCTATGCATCCTGGTATGTTCTCTAGGTCCATCTTTGTTCTTCCTGTAATTATTTTTCAATAGTTCTTTTAGTGAGGCTGTATGGAAGTAAGCTGTCTTAATCATTTTATATCTTCAGTGACTCTTTTTAGCCCTTAATTTTGAAAGACAATATAGATAGATATAAAGTTTGGGGGTTATACATATATGCCCTTACCACCTTGATAGTAGTAGTGTGCAGTCATCTGAAGACACTATAAGTTTTTAATCTCTTGGGAAAGTACACTTTCATGGATAAAATTTTATGTCCTAGTGTCAGGGTCAGTCATTCAAATGTGGATGCTTGTACATCTTGGTATGTGTCTTGGGTCAGTTACTGATCCTCTGTTGACTTACAGATAAAAATGGGGCTGATCAGAATAAGTGAGACTTACACAGTGCTTATATGAGTCCTCCATGATGTCATGTGCTTTGCATGTATTACCCCTTTTACTTCTCATTACATAGTTATTATTTTTGTTTTTTTACAGATGATGGAGCTAAGACTCAGAGCAATTAAATAACTTGAGGACAGTGACATCGTGACTCTCAAGCCTGAGGCTGTACTCTGTTCTTGCAACGCAATATCACTTTCCATGTAGGGTCATTTTGATACTTAAAAAAGATAATCATCTAATGTGCTAACTGTAGTGTCTGACCTACACTTAAGTGTTTGTATGCGTTATTACGACTTCCTGCCCACTCTGCTGGCCACATCAGTGGCCCACACAGCCCCTTAGAGACTCCTCCCACTTCCCTTGGCCATCATGAGATGCTCAGTGTCAGCTGAGGTGCTGGCTCCAGACGCTCCTCAACCCTTCCGTCCTCATAGCGCCACAGCAGCGCCCGTTTCCACACAGAGCCCGCGGGAAGCGCTCCTTCCTCCTCCCGGAACTGCTCTCCGCATCATGCCACGATGCGCTTGTATTTGTGTCCAGAGCATCATAAAACCCCTCTTCAATGGCACCATCAGCTTCAAGCTCGGGTCCCCCTTTCTACCTAGGTGCTCGAGTCAGGTATATGGGACCCGGTGGAGGACAGATGCCAGTGCACTGTTCCGCACACACCCTCCTCCTCCTCTCCTGCCTCTGTTCCCCCAGATTTCACCTGTCTTCCCATCACACTGTCCCACTTCCAGCCACTCATCTTTTCCATGGCAAGCTTTATCAAATCCAATTTAGTTTCCTTTTCTAAGATAGAGAGAGCCCCAGGGCAGAGCTACAGCAGTTCAAGAAAAAAGAGAACGCAGAGCCTGAGACCTGAAGCAGAGATGAGTCCTGAAAGAGGAGGGGAAGGCTGAGGCCAGCTGTGTGCCACCAACAGGGGGCGCTGTGAGGCCAGTGCCAGGGGAGGCTAGCCTGCTGTAGCTGTGGGGAGGAACAGGTCTGATGAGGGGAGAACCTAGCGTTGGGTCCAGAGAAAAGTGCTGGCACCCTTAGTCACCCCCAAGGTGCTCCTTTATGGGTCTGGAGGAGGAGGAGGTCCCATCACAGCCTGTCTTGGGCTAGAGTCACTCACTGTGGAATGACAGACACCAGACAGGCACCACGTGACCCTTGCTGCTTAGGGTTGGAGCCCGGTATTTGTTTCCTACAGCAGATGCTGAGCAGCAGGGGATGGCAGCACCCGGGACTCACAATATGACAGGTGACTCAGGGGACACATGGCACATTCCACAAGGCCTAAGTGCAAGTGGGGTGTCCAGCACAGCTTAAGAGACTGGACTCTTGGGGCAGCAGCCTCCTGGGTGACGCAAGTGCTGCCCCTGAGCAGTGCCCCCCACTGCTGCCACCTCTGAATGGCCGCCTGAACAAACAAGACACCATGGCTTCTACAGGTGAGACCCTTCCAGAGGCCTTAGGTGTATGGTCTGAGATGTTGCATTTTGTGTTGTATTCTATTTTGTCTGTGGTGGCCATGAGAGGCAGGGTCTGGATCTTTCCTGAAGGATGTGGGTAGCATTTGTATTCCTCACCTTGTAAATCAAGGTGTCCACAGACAGGTGACTGGATATGGAAAAGTGGACAGGAGCCAGGCAGAAGAGGGAAGGTTGGGGACCAGTGGTTGTTCCTTATGAGGTCAGTGGGGTCAAAAGAGGTGGATGCCCCTCCTTTTAAAATGCAAATTTGAAAAAAAAACTTGTTTCTCTTCTCCCTGCCTTTTATCCAGTGTTAATAACATTCTCAAACGAAAGTACATGCATACACAGAAATGGCACACAAAAAGTTGATCACCGCTTGTTTTACCAAAATAGAATTATTTATTAGAATATATGCAGAAATATGTAGAATAATGCATTTCTCTGCATCTTACTTTTCTTCCTTAAAACATCCGAGAGATTTGCATGGTCCGTCAATGGGGATCTATCTCATTCCTTTTATGACCCTAATCCCGACAGTCACTTTGAGCCTGACACACAAAGACAAACCCTAACCCTCAGAGCTTAAATCTAAGGCCCTAATCATGAGGCCTTACCCCAACCCTAATCCCCATGCCTTACCCCACAAACTCTAACACTGACACTGAGGCCCTAATCCATGTGGACATAAACTGCATTGTCCTCGGCCACTCGCTATTGGGGAGCACCAGGAAGATTGTGGCACTAATATCCTTGTATGTGATCTTTTCTTAGTGATTGTTCCCTTGGAATGGATATCCAGGAATGGGACAATTGGGTCTAGGGGTAGATATATTTTAATGCTATTGCATGTTGCCAAGTTGTTTTCCAAAAAAGACAAAAGCTGTGTGAGAAACTTTTGTGAGAAGCTTTTGCACGTGTGAGAAGACCAGTTTCCTGCATCACCACCAGAAATAGGATTTATCACCTAAATCAGGGGAGACAAATTGGGGGACAGGTCGCCACCACTCATTCTCCAGAAACCCCGTACAAGATCTGAACCCGTAGAGAGGAAGGCGACTGGGGAAGAGGTGGCTCCAACCCCCCATGCTAACATTTTCAGAGGGTCCCTGTGGGTCGCCCCCCTGGAAGGAGGGCATCTGACCAAGACAGGTTGTCGGCTCATCACAGGATAAAGAGAGAGAGGGGCCTCTGGGTGCCACCAGGGGCAGGGCGCCGACCCCCAGCTCTAATTGTCGTGTTCCTGAGACCTCCATGGTGCCACTGGCTGGTGTCCCTAATGGCCCCTGCCAGATCAAGTCAGGGGACACTGCCCTGAGAACCCTCCTTATATATGCATGGGGAAACTGAGGCAGGATACCTCAGAGCCTAGGTCCAGACTGCATGGACATGAATGCTGGCTCTGCAGACAGCCTTTCCTGAGAAGTCCATGGATCCCTTTATTTGAGGCATTCAAGAGGCCTTGTGCTTGGGGCTGGGGGTTGGAGTGGAGGGGGCTGGGGAGTTGGGGCAAAGGCTTTGCTCAGAGACAGCTCCGCCTGGGGGCGAGAGGGCTACATGGGGCTGGGATTCCAGGCTGTGCCCTCGTGGGATGGTATTCAAGGCTAGGGGAGCCAGGGGTTGCCTGGGGAACAAGGGCTGCCCCTCCTAAGTACTGCTGCAGCTCTACTTAGTGGGACGGATCTGCCTTGAATGGGAGACCCTTTTTCAGAACTCTGGCTGGGGTCTGGACCTGGCCTGGTCCCTGAAGACAGGCATGTATACAAGGTCAGACAATTAAGTTCGGGAACTCCTCCAAGAAAAAGTGCTACATACCTCATTGCTGAGTATCACTATGATCACCTTTGAAGTACTCCCCTTGAGAAGCTATGCACTGATGCCAGCGCCTATTCCACTCTTCAAAGCAATTTTGGAAGTCTTTTTCTGGACTGGCCATCAGAGCTGTCGTCGTACTAACCTTGATGTCCTGAATGTCATCAAAATGTCTTCCTTTCAATATTTCCTTTATCTTTGGGTAAAGAAAGAAGTCATTGGGGCCAGATCAGGTGAGTAGGGAGGGTGTTCCAATACAATTACTTGTTTACTGGCTAAAAACTCCCTCACAGACAGTGCCATGTTAGCTGGTGCATTTTCGTCATTCAAGAGCCATGAATTGTTGGCGAAATGTTCAGGTCATCTTTTCACACAGCCTTTTCAGCGCTTTCAAATAGTGAGCTTGGTTAACTATACAGTTAGTATAAATTTATAATGAATAATCTCTCTGATATCAAAACAGGTTAGCAACATCATTGCAAGAAGTTCACGAACTTAATTGTCAGACCTCATATGAGGACCCAGCTCTCCCCAGGTCTCCTCCCACCTTCCGCCTTCTCTCTGGATTTAATCTCCTAGGAACAAAAGATCTCAGCTGGAAGGTACCTAGGGGCCTCGCTAAAGAATGAGCATTAATTCTTGTTCCATGGACTCCCGCCTAACTGATGAATCCTGCATTGCTAAGAGGAGGGGAGCTACCCACAGCCAAGAGAAATGCCCGGGCTTCTGCTGTCCTCTGCTCCTACCCACCTGGAAATGGCAGCATGGTTCTCTAGTACCACTGGGCTCCATGCAGGCCCCCAGTCTCTGCTGGTGGCCATCTCTCATACCTGGGGAAGGGGAGACCAAGAGCTACGGTCCAGAGCCCCTGGAGGGCCACCCAAGTCAGGCAGCTCTTGTGCAGGGGCCAAGTCAGGCCCCTGGGAGGCTGGATCATAGCAGCAGCCTCCTCCTTGACCCTCACCCCTTAGGGAAGCTGTTTCCTCTCTAGATGTGGCTGACAGTAACCCAAGGTGTTCTCTAGTGTGTTGGATTTGATTTGCTAATATTTTGCTGGAAATTTTGGTATCTATATTCATGAAAGATGTTGGTCTATAGTTTTCCTTTCTTGTAATGTCTGTCTGCTTTTTGTTAGAATAATGATGGCCCCACAGACTGAGTTAAGAAGTATTCCTTCTGCTTCTATTTTCTTGAAGAGATTGTAAAGAATTATTTTTTCCCCTTAAATATTTGGCAGAATTCATCTGCAAACACATTTGGGCCTTGGGGAGTTATTACTTATTGATTCAACTTCTTTAATAGATACAGACCTATTCAGATTATCTATTTCTTCCTATATGAATTGAAGTAGATTGTATCTTTCAAGGAATTGGGCCACTTCATCTAGGTTATCATATTTGTGATCAATAGAGTTCATAATACTTCTTTATTATCCTTCTAATGTTCATGAGATCAGTAGTGATGGCCCCGCTTTAATTTCTGATATCAGTAATTTGTGTCTTCTCTCTTTTTTTATTAGTTAGCCTGGCTAGAGTTTTATCAAGTTTGTTGTTCTTTTCAATACGTCAATTTGGGTTTTGGGTTTGTTAATTTTCTCTATTCCCTGTTTTCAATTTTATTGATTTCTGCTCTAGTCTTTATCGTTTCTTTTGCTTGCTTTAGCTTTTATTTCCTCTTCTTTTTATAGTTTCCTAAGGTAGAGGCTTATATTATTGATTTTTGATCTTACTTTTTTTCTAACGTATGCATTCAATACTATAAATTTCCATCTAAGCACTGCTTTCACAACATCCCACAAATTTCACAGTTATTTTATTTAGTTCAATATTTGTGAATTTCTCTTGAGATTTCTTTGACCCACGTGTTATTTAGAAGTGTGTTGTTTGTTTGTGTTTGTTTGTTTGTTTTAGCTGAGTCATCCTTCCACCTGTTGGCAGCTCAGCGGCTGCTCAGCAGCTGCTCAGCTCGGGCTGGGACTCGGACTGCTGTTGCTCAGAGCTAAAACTCTTGAGCAAGCTCTTAA